CCAAACCAAGTTGCCTAAAAATCTGTAGTCCTGGAGAACCTATCAAGGTACGGCATGCTCCGGAATCTAACAACCCTAGTAAGGGATAATCTAAAATAGTAATTTGTAGATATGGACGCTCGTCTCCCTTTGCATGCGCAAGAATATAATCCAGCAAAATTTGTTGACGAGGGCCAAATGTGTCGGTTACACAGCGGGATTTTTCATCAGATTTGACCGGTGGGTGTTGGGCTCCCGAGGAGGACGTACGGTCATTTAGTTCCTCGGGGGTTCGTTTCCCGAACACTTGGGGCAAATGCGGACAGTTACGTCGGGTTTTCCACACTTGTAACAATGCAGGCGACGTGGTTGTGTGCAGTTTTGCGACTTGTGTCCTGATTGTTGGCAATTCCAGCAGGTGAGGGCACGTATGGCGTCACAAGGCTGAGTTTGCACCGGATCCAAGTTGGGTATCGGTTCCTCTGTCACAGACGAGACGCCAGGTATACTCCGCGGTTTGTGATACGCCAAGGTTGGCTCCAAAATTCGAGAGTAATTGGTAGGCGGTGGGATAAAACTCTGGGCACGCTGTTGCCCATCCTCAATGCTTCTGCATAGTCGAACAAGATCTGCCAACGTAAAAATATCGTGTAGTACCAAGGCTTGTTGGAGTGACGGTAACAAATTCCTTTTGATAATCTCCAGCCTAGTGACCTCATTGGGCATGCAGGGTAGTCGGCTGAACAAGTTTTCGATTGATGAAACGTAGAAGATGACCTTTTCGTTTGCTCCTTGGGTACGATTTCGAATCTCCTCCCACAATCGGTGTTCATAATCGAAAGGTAGGAAAGCTTTTTTTAAATGATCTACTAGATCGTCCCAATCCCTTAATTGTAATTTAATTGATCGATACCAATTCAGAGCTGGGCCCGAAAAAAGTTCGACGGCCGAAACATATAATTGAGCTTTAGTGTAATTTCGAGAAGCTCTCAGTTCCTCTACTCGTTGTAAAAATTCGGGTAAACTTGTTTCTCCATTGTATGTTATATTCCATTTATGAATGGGGGTAGTGTTGGGTTTCCTTTCATAAAATTGTACTGATTGTGGTGACCGGACGTAAGCATCTGGTTCCGCAGTAGGAGGGCTTGCGAAAGATACGCGACGCCGGTAAGGTGATGAAGAAGCTACAGGTTCAGCAGATGGTTCTGTACGTGTCACTGAGTGAGCCATCGATTGATTTGTAAGGTTCGTAGATGCAAGCAGAGGGTAGTCAAATAAATTAATTAAGTCCTCCGCTGTAGTGCGAACAGGCTGAGGGGTTTCGGTAGGTTCTATCAAAATTGACGTATTAGGTGTATCAATTAAATTTATGGTTCTAGGTGTGGACTGAGATTGTCTGGTTACCTCATTATTGAATACTCGGGTTAATCGCGCTTGTAGTTGACCGCAGTAGGTGAGTAAACGTTCTTGAAGTACCATTCTATTCTCATCGCTTACTATAATTCGTTGAAGCCTGCCTTGGACATGAATCAAACGAGAATTTATTTTTTGGAAATCATTGGCTGCATTGCAAGCATCAAATCCATCAATGTCTTGCTTCAGCTCATCTAATTTATGGTTACAAATTTTTAATTCGGAATCAGAATCTATCGTGACGGTGGGTAATGTTTCGGTAAAGAAAAATCTACGCAATAATGCACGGTTATCGTTGACAGTATTACCGCATTCAACTCCTCTGATTAACAATTCATGGACTAATTCATCAGACCTCAAACGATTAATCTCCATGTTCAAAAATAATTAAAACAAACACAAACAAGCAAGGAGAAAAAAACCTCGGGCCACTCACGTTGGGTGCCAAAATTCCTTGCCACGGACGGACAATAGAAGAAACAAATGAAATTCACACTAAAAACTTCTGGCGATGGTGCAAAGATCTGCTTCGGCTCGCTCGTCGGATAGGTCGAGGGTAAATCTAGAAGTTAATAAATAGGGCGCCAGAAGCTTAACTAATCTCCGCCAGCAAATCTGAGTTGATCCTGCCCTCGCTTCACAAGCAGGATGTAGAGTCGTGATCAGCCAGTAAGCTAAGAAAGGGGACAATATAACACGTAAGAAAACAAAAGATAAGGAGGAGGAAAGCAGAAGCATATATTTGAAAATCAATAACCGCACGTAATGGTAAGAATTAAATAAATTCAACAATATCAAATGAAAAAAACTGACAAAATATTTGAGGGAAATAAATAAAAAAAAAAAGGTAACCAACCGTTCACAAGTCTGTATGAAACGTAGTAATAATTTTTTAAATAAGTGAGTAGGTGCAGAGTGGTAATTGAATAGTTCAGTTGACTTGAAGCAAGAGGGTAATTTGGGGAAAGGCCTTTCTGTATCAATAAACCCCCGTTCATATGTACCTTACCTTGGGTATTCTACAATTCAAGCAACTTACCTTGTGTCCGGTTTCACAAAAACAAAATACAATTAAAAAAAAAATGCAAGTTAATTAACATGTGAACTAATAAAAAAAAGATAAAAAAACTACTTTCGTGAGCTGTGCTCAACCACCGATTTATCAGTGGCTCTACTACACTTCTAACTTTCTGTCAAATTCGGTACGTAACCGCAAAAAAAATTATAATTAAATCATAATAAAGTTTTAGTGCACAAAATTTAAATAACACAACAACAACAAGTAACTTAGGATTTACAGAGAGGGAATTAGGAAGTTCTCGATACACGGGGAAGGAGAAAAAAAAAAAATTGGAAGGAATTAAGGAAGCAAGGATAAGGAAAGAAAGTAGGTGTAGGGGGTCAAACCATCTTCACTAATGTAGGTCAACAAATAATAGTGTACAGCACACACAACGCTGACCTTTGGGCTCCTTTAATGTACCCCTAAGTGGCTCTGGTGGTGCGGGAACTGAAGTTGGTGTAGGCGTCCAAAGACAGGTCGATATCACGGCTGAACACGGCGACACAAACGAAGAACATAAATCGGGCAGCGACAACACGTAGAAAACAAGTTTGAAGTAAAATCGGAACAGATACGGCTCCCAAGTTTCACATATACGAAGAAGCTAAAAGATTATATTGCTATAGACACGGGACTAAAAGGTAAGCACGAACCTCTAAGTTGGTAGGCGAGCTGAAGATTAAGCGATTTTAGGTCCGCATAAAGCGATATGGAATACTACCCAATTGAGGCAACCAAAAAAAACCTCCGACTAAATACGGGTAGCTATTCTATTTGTCTGGCCCAAATTCTTGAATATTCCTTCGTATGAAGATTGGTAATAGCTCAGGAAATTGGTAAATCACTCTCAGATTACAAAATGTGCACTTGCCAAAAAATGTCCGCAGGAAACAGGAAAAATCACCGAAAAGAATGTTATCAGAAGGAAATTAGCTTATCAAGAAAAGAATACAAGAAAGAAAGTTCGAAAACGGAAAAGCACTAACAGAAAATTAGAGAGCAACCCACAACACATAGAAGTCAAGGTGTATAGTATTACTAAGAGGAACGAATTAGATAAGAAAAGTGTATTAAATTAGATACGAAAATGAACCGTTACACTGCACAGTGCTCCAAATCGCTCGATAATGAAGATGTACAACAACAAACTGATTGTGGATTGAATCTTAAAATTCACATTTCCGACTATTCTGAACAGAACAAACAGCTGCACCAAGATAAAACACACGAACAAAGTGTGCTACAATGTGCTAATTGTGAATACAAGACAAATAACAAAGAATACTTTAAACGACACCTTTTAAAACATGGGTTTTAAATGTGCTACTTGTGATTATGTGACAAATTATAAAAGCAATTTCAAACGACATCTTTTAAAACATACCCATTCTAAAGTTTTTAAATGTGCTAATTGTGATTACCAGACAATTAACAAATACCACTTTAAACGACACCTTTTAAATCATACCCATTCTAAAGTTTTGAAATGTACTAATTGTGATTATGGAACAAGTTATAAAAGCAATTTCAAACGACATCTTTTAAAACATACCCATTCTAAAGTTTTTAAATGTGCTAATTGTGATTACCAGACAATTAACAAATACCACTTTAAACGACACGTTTTAAATCATACCCATTCTAAATTTTTGAAATGTGCTAATTGTGATTACGAGACAAATAACAAGTACTACTTTAAACAGCACCTTTTAAATCATACCGATTCTAAATGTTTTAAATGTGCTGATTGTGATTATGGAACAAATAATAAAGAAGGTCTAAAGAGACACATTTTAACACACAAACTTTCTAGTAATGCAAGTCTGCTAAAATGTGCTGCTTGTAGTTACGAGACAAATAACAAGTACTACTTTAAACGACATCTTTTAAACCATACCGATTCTAAAGATTTTAAATGTGCCCATTGTGATTACAAGACAAATAACAAATACCACTTTAAACGGCACCTTTTAAATCATACCGTTTCTAAAGGTTTTAAATGTGCTGATTGTGATTATGGAACAAATAATAAACAATGTCTTAAGAGACACTTTTTAACACACAAACCTTCTAAAGATCTGCTAAAATGTGCTAATTGCAGTTATGAGACAAATAACAAATACTGCTATAAACGACACATTTTAAATCATACCGACCCTAAACATTTTCAATGTGCTGATTGTGCGTATGAGACAAATATCAAATACTGCTTTAAACAACACCTTTTAAAACATACTGGTTCTAAAGATTTTAAATGTGCCCATTGTGGTTATGAGACATATCAAAAATTCTGTCTTAAACGGCATCTTGTAAGACACACAACCCGTTTTCATCAGGAACAAATTTCTCGTTAAAAATATCGTTTCCACGTGAGGGAGGTCATGCCCTAACTTATGTTAATAAAATTTAAGGGGTTGGTTATATGTATATGTTTGTGGGTGTGGAAACCACGTTATTTATTGATTATGTTTGTTAAACTTATTAATAAAATAAAATAAAATTGTGTTTGTAGTTTGTACCTATCAACTTTCCTTTGTGAATTTGATATAAATTTTTAGTTACATATCTTTTTTAAAAGGAAGATGTTATAGATGTAACTTGGCAACTATGTAAATGGTTATAGAAACTGTAGCAAGAAGAGTTGTTTTGTCAATGTTAGTACGTTCGAAATTTGCAACTTGTAGTTGAGTTTACTGAGTTTTATCAGCTGATTGAGTGGTTTATTTAACCTTACATTTTCGAACGTTTTGTTTTGAGTTAATTTGTTATGGTGAATGAAAATCAAAATATTTCATTGTTTGTTGATTGTGCATCTATGATCTATGTTATTATTACCTTAGATCATTGATCTAAGATCTTTTTGATAATAGGTCAGCCCTGAAGTTCTGCAGGATATATCAGCATTTTTCATTGTTGTGCGGGTCATGGTCTTTTAATTTAAATTGTATCCAAGTATATCACAGTAGATAATCTTCTCATGAATCCATGAATAAATACTTAATAAAAGAATATAAAGATAAATTCACCCTTACCAATTACCCTGTATATCATAGCATCGAATGCAGCTGGTGAAATTAGAGCCAAAGGAAAGCTTCAAGTGACGAATATTTCAGAAGTATGAGCTGTGTTTTTATACAAGTCCAAAGCATATTGAAGGGCGTAAACTATACTGCGATGTTGCCACATTGCAGCGTTCGTATTCAACACACATTTGTTAAATATTTGTGTTACAAAATCAATCTACGCTATGATAGGTTTCACGGTGCAGACCGATTTCCATTTCTTCTAATAAAGTCCCGCGGTTGTCAGATTTCAAAAATGTGTGCAGCGTCGTAGATTGTCAACCCAACAAGAGGTTTTCATCACGATGAATTATATTGATTTTGTTTCAGTTTCCTTCCCTTGATACCACGAGAAGTCTCAGCACTGTCACATTCATTACCATATTTCTCGAACTGATTTCTATCCCAGTAACCACACCCTGGTTCTGGGCAAAATAAGAAACTTCAGCTGAAAATTAAAGAACCCTATTTTATATCAAAGCTGTTAGATAGTGATAGAGTGGTTGTAATAGATAGGGGTGAAATTATTTAAGGGTATGCGGAGAAAAGTTTGTTAGCATTAACGCATTTGCATCAATTTATAGAAAAGTGACAACGCTGTGTTTCAAAATTATAATGTCGGTAAGTTAGTTTGATAAGAAATATGATGACGTCTATTTTTGTTATCTTAATCGTGGTTTGTTAATAAATGAATTTAAGTATTTTGCTAGAGCTCTTGGATTTTTACATTTTTGTTGTATTGTTCTGTGATAATTTTGTGTAAGTTTGCAAAAAACGTGTATATCATAGCTCACTTCGGAATAGTACGCAGAGAAGCAGAAAAGAGAAGCATAAAATTGTTGGTAGAAATGGTGGCCTGGTTGGAGAGACATGATAAACCAATAGTTGTGGGTGTTCTAATGACTTTGTTAAGAATGCCACAGTAAACCATTAATGATTTCTTTTTACATCTGTTCGAATAGGTAACCATAAGGTATGTGATAGTTTGCAGTTACATGGTTTAATTAAAAATAGTTATAGTCATGGATAAGGACATGGTGCTTGTTAAAACCGAACCAAAAAAAGAAGAAGAAATAAATTTTGCCCTTGAAGGAAGAATCTTTGTAAGCAATGATGTTTTGAGAACAGTAAAAGAAGAACACAATGAAATTGTGTCCTGTGCAGAAAATGCGATAGAAGTGTTGAAATGTAACGATCATTCGTTAAATCGCAAAGATTTTAAATGTGACAATTGTGATTATGCAACCAATACTAAAAAGTATCTTAAACGTCATATGTTATCGCATGTCGTAGAAGATTTCAAATGTTCTATGTGTGATTATGTCACAAAGTTTAGAGGCGCATTGAGAAATCATGTTTTATCCCACAATGAAACTAAACATTTTAAATGTGACAAATGTGATTATTCAACAAATATTAAATGTAATTTTAATCGACATCTCTTAGTACACAAAGCGTCTAAAGATTTTCAATGCAACAATTGTAATTATAGTACAAACTATAAGCGCTATTTGATTCTACATCTCTTAAATCACAACATCTCTAAACATTTTAAATGTGACATGTGTGATTATTCCACAAGTTGCAAGGAGTATTTGCAACAACATGTCGTAATACACAATGATTCGAAAGATTTTAAATGTGACATTTGTGATTATTCTACAAATACTAAAAGGTATCTTAAACGTCATTTCTTATCACATGTTATAGAAGATTTCAAATGTTCTAAGTGTGATTTTGTTACAAAGTTTAGAGGCGCGTTGAGAAATCATGCTTTAACACACAATGAAACTAAAGATTTTAAATGTGACAATTGTGATTATTCAACAAATATTAAGGGTAATTTTAATCGACATCTCTTGGTACACAAAGTTTCCAAAAATTTTAAATGCAACATTTCTAATTATAGTACAAATGATTTGAATCGGCATCGCTTAAAATCTAACATCCTTAAACATTTTGAATGTGACATGTGTGATTATTCTACAAGTCGTAAGGACTATTTGCAACAACATGTCTTAATACACAGTGGTTCGAAAGATTTTAAATGTGACATTTGTGATTATGCAACATCTATTAAGAAGTATCTTAAACGTCATCTCTTATCGCATGTTATAAAAGATTACAAATGTTCTAAGTGTGATTTTGTTACAAAGTTTAAAGGAGCGTTGAGAAATCATGTTTTATCACATGATGAAACTAAAGATTTTAAATGTGACATTTGTAATTATTCCACAAGTCATAAGCGCTATTTGAGACAACATGTCTTGTTACACAAAGATTCCGAACACTTCAATTGCGTTAAATGTAATTATAGTACAAAGTACAAGCGCTATTTGATGCAACATCTCTTAAAACACAATATCTCTAAAGATTTTAAATGTGACATTTGTGATTATGCAACAAATATTAAGTGTAATTTGAATCGACATCTCTTAATACACAAGGGTTCTCAAGATCTGAAATGTGAAAGTTGTAGTTATTCAACAAACACTAAGGCGGCTGTAAAAAGACATTCATTATTATGCCACAAATCATAAATGTACGTACTCTAACATCTTTGGTGTTTTCCAACACTCTCCTTCACTAAAAATGTTTCAACATCAATTTTACATATAAAGTGAATTAAGACAACTGTGCTTAATGTTATTGTAAAATATGTCTGCCTGTTGTTGCTTAGATATGAATTTCTTATTTAAATTTTCACAAATAAAATGAAATTTATTTTATATCTGATTTACTCTAGCATTGTTTCGTGGATTCTTAACTGAAGCACAATATATGCCTGATTATCCTCAAAGTAAGTTATAACATTCATTTTTACGTCAAAAGTCTGAGAGGTTCCACTTCGGGTCCCACCCTGTATATACAACCTACGCGGATGCACACATTTTTTTAGAGCTGGCAACCATGCAACTTTTAGAAGAAGAAAAGCTGCATCGGAGAGCATCTGAGATCATATATTCTCCGTCGAAAGTTCAAATAATAGTGACGAAACTAGCGCAAATAGTTGCGTCATACTTATATAAAAGCAATTTTAATGATTACAACTTCGGGAACTCCACTGAGAGATTGATTATCGGGGCATGATTCTTGAGATCTGCGCATGTGTCAAGGTGGTTCCTCCCTGAACTAAAGCAAGATGGTGGTCGTAGACGGGAGCTCTTTCGTGAACTCATGTCACTGAAGGTCGGGTGGTTCTTCCTAGCCGTATAGGGCCCAACTCGGCCCCATGTAAAATCCCATAAGACGATTATAGTGTCGTCAAGGTCATCTGACTCTCCTCCTAGTGGCGACTTTAAAAACTAAATAGAATTCTTAATGGTTAACCATCTTAATTGTGCCTCCTGGTAGTTACTCTGTAACGTGGGTTCAGAGAGAGGGGATGTTTTAGGAGGGCGTGGTTAACTTAGGGAAAATGACAAGGTGTTTAAACGCTGTCCTCAAGAAATATTTTTGGTTACAAGAGTGCCTTCGCAACGTCAAGGTCATGCAGTTCTGAATCTGCAGGATTGTCGTCTAAAGAGGGCGTTGCCGTTTCTTCGATCGTGGTTTGTGTCTTTGCTAATCTGTGATATGTTTATACAAAGGAGGCGATTGTCATAGAGATCTATACAGAATAGATACCAGTAAGAGTAAGGATGTCAAAAGTAAACTAGGATAACAACAGTGAACAGATATCGAATAGTAGTAACTAAAATAGAAAAATTGGTTTGGAGGTGTGATATACCCACGCCGGCAGCTCCCGCGCTAACAAAAGCGGGAAAAACGTGAACTCGGGACACCAGCGTAGCAATATAAATCTCACGATCAACAATGGCCGGATCCTCTGCGCTTTGAAAGCCCAGATTGCACTCACTCGTACCCAAGCTTACTATCGGAACAGTTGAACACAAACAACACGCTTAATGAATTTAAAAAGCAAAGGAAAGTTTATGGAATAATTGGTCAAAAGTGTAAGATTAATCAAAATACCTAAGGGGTTCCTACATAATACATTTAAAGGCAAAGAAACGCAATGTTACCCTAGAACTCATCGAGCAAAAGGACCGAGCAGAAGAAAATTCATATTGTTCACAGAGGGTAAATATATGTGGAAATCTGTGGGAAAATATTGGCATTCGCACTTTTCGTGTTAAATAAAATTATGTTAATGGAGCCGAGCCACGCTATTTTGATGTTTCCTATGTACATGCCATTATTATTTTACGAGTTGTGTTAGCTCAATTGATCGTACAGGTATTTTGATGTGTTTTTGTACTGAATTGATTTATCCGTTTTTCCACTGCATTTTTGATGTCTTGTGTATTTTGTTTTTATGAACTTGTTTAATTGCATTTGATTTGATTATCTGATTTTCATCATACAATTTGAGATGCTTTATTTATGTGTATATTCTCTTGCATTTTATTGCTGTAGGTGATTTATTTCATGTATTTGTGTGGCCTATGACGAGGTTTTTGTCCCGTAGAAGGTTTCCCTGGTATGGTCTTGTTGTGTGCCTAATATATTTATTTGTTCTTGTCATTTCTTACGCACAAAAGTTCTGTCGTTTATTTAATTCCCTTCCCGATGATTGTCTCACGTCCCAACACGTACAAGAACCGATTACACAACGTAGGAGTTAATTCGTGCCACCCATATCGAGCCGACTGCCATCCAAATTCAAAAGTTCCGCGAAACATGCATCGTTTCGACTTGAAAGGTAGGTGGCTCTGCTCGTAGTTTTTTTCCCAGAGTTGCCAACGGTAAGTCAACGTTTTCAGTCTCGACTTGTCCTAGGAACATTACAAAGTTGATTTATTTCTTGTGTTTGTGTGCGTTATGCCAGGTATTTTGTTCAATAAACGTTTTACTGGCCTTTTTTGTGTTTCAATTTTTCTTGTTTTTTCCTACACACGAACGTTTTCATTTTATTCAATTTCCTTCCCGATTGTGTCTCTCGCTCCATCACATAAAAAGAACCGCACTGGTGTAAACACAACGTAGGAGTACCAACCAGGCCGAGATTCGAAAGTGATGCAAAACGCCAATTGTAACTGTAATTATAGTGTAAGTCAAAATTGCTGTGCCCCCTAAGACACTACAAGCTAGGATTAAGAAGTGAGAGGGGCTGTTGAATGAGCGCACTTGTTGTGTCCAAAAGTAGTATCGGCAACGTCGCATGTATAGTATCAAGAGTGTTGTAACCGATGCAATCAAATTCAGAAGTTGGAACCCACATTAAGTATATGTTCTAGTTCTGCACTACTTAGGTAGAATTATTTTTAAGGGGGTTCCGATATACGGTTCCGGTTCTGTGGCCTCAACTCTCTACTGTTTTGGATTCATTTTTGATAATATATTTTATGTCTGTTTAGTATTAACTTTAAGTTGGTAAAAGCTAGTGTGGTGGCCCATTATTTTGATTTTTGACCTTATTTTACAGGAACGTAGTTCACAAGGCATGATTTTACGCTAGGCCAATAAAATAGACTGCATGTTTTTTCTTTTGTTTTATTGTAGCGAATTTTCTAGAGCGATATCGAGGCCAATTCTCACGGCCCTATAATAAGTACGGTACCGGCGTAACTTCTTGAATAGGTAACGGTTATGCTTCCAAGTGAGGGGCGTATAAATGTAATTGCTTCCGGTTGCAACCCCTGATCAAAACTAGCTGAACAATAAATATCTAAGTAAAAGCGCAGCACGACACGCATGTTTTGTCAATTATTAAAGTTACCTACATGCAAATTGTTATTCATACAATTAATAAGTGTTAAATGAAAAAAAATCACCCTGCAGTACGGTCTGCCATGACATTTCTGACCACATCAGTACTCATGTTCTCAAATACAGTGTTGTCAAATGGTATACCATCCGCTTTTAACTATAAATTCAAGGGAAGTGTGTAAAAAATTAAAGAACAGAATCAACGAAACCAAAATTTAATATTAAACAAGTCCTGATGTACAAATAAATCTTATACTTAAACTTGATCCAATTCATAGGTACCTATTTTACTTTCCATTATTTTACCCATAATCAAATTGGTAATTAAACAACCTACTATTTGAAATCATAAATGCTTCATTTATGTTCTATAATTGCAAATGTCGCATTCAAGATTTGTGTGATCCACAATGTCTACTCAATGTCCTTTTGGAGTTTGTAACAAAATTACAAATGTCACATTTAAAATTTTTAGAAGCTTCGTGTAACACCACATGTCTGCTCAAAGCGCTTTTAAAGTTTGTGGCAAAATCGCAAAAGGTACATTCAAAACGTTTAGAATCGTTGTGTCTCAAGAGATGTTGTTTCAGAACGTCTTTACGGTTCGTGGCATAATCACAAATGTCGCATTTAAAATCTTTGGACTCTTTGTGTGATGAGAGGTGTCGCTTAAAAGTTCTGTTGCAGTTTGTGACATAATTACAAACACCACATTCAAAATCTTTAGATGCTTTGTGTAATAAAAGATGATTTTTAAGATTTGCCTTATAGCTTGTTGCAAAATCGCATAAGTAACATTTAAAGATGTCTTTAAATGTGCTGTGTTTCAAGAGATGTTTTTTCAAATAACTTTTCTGGTTTGAGGCATAATCACAAATGTTGCATTTAAAGTTTTTAGATACAGCGTGCGTTAAGAGATGTCTTTTCAAAAAGTACTTACGATTTGAGACATAGTCGCAAGTGTCACATTTCAAATGTTTAGCGATAGTGTGCGTTGTAAGGTGTTCTTTTAAACTACCTTTACGATTCGAGGCATAATCACACATGTAACATTTAAAAATATCCTTACAAACATTGTGTATTAACAGATGTTTTTTCAAAGTAGTTTTACGGTTCGTGACATAATTGCAAATAGCACATTTGAAATTTTTACAGTCGGTATGTGTTAAGCAATGTTGTTTCAGAACACTTTTATAGTTTGTGGCATAATCACAAACATCACATTTGAAATCTTTACAAGATTTGTGCGATAAAACATGTCGTTTAAAACTCAATTTGTAATGTGTTGCAAAATCACAAATGCCACATGTAAAATTTTTAGATATGTTGTGTATTAAGAGATGATTGTTAAAATTTCTTTTATGGTTTGTAACATAATCACAAATGTCACATTTAAGGCGTTTGTGTGTCAAAAGGTGCTTTTCAACGTTCGATGTATAATCACAAAGATTAACGATTTGCGATCCCTCTTCACTATTGTAGTCATCGCAACACAATATGCCGTCATTACGTTCTTCTTTTACAGTTGGCAAGACATCACTAAATACAAAAATGTCTCTTTCAAGAGAAACATTGACTTCTTCGTGTTTCGGTTCAATTTTAACAAGTGTGAGACATTCGTCCATGTTCACCTATAACCGCAATTAAACCTTATGAGTAGAAACATAAGACTTACCTCAAATGAATGCAATGGAATGTCTTTTACAATTGATAGGACTACAAACTGCAAAATAAATTTATGTTTGACAAAATAAACCAAATTACTGAAATCTGAGAAATAGTTTTGCTGGCATAATACTAGGACAAAGGCTGGTCGTAAATTTCATACACCTGGCTGTTTTTACTGTAGCCCCTATACAGAGTGTCCCAAATCGATTACAATAACATGTGTTGAGACTCCACAAGTTCTGACGTCACTACCGCCATTTTTTTAGCGCAGGTCATGGCCATGTTCCAAACAAAGGATTTGTATGTGTGTTTTCCCCATTGGTAATTTTTTTAAGTGATTTTTATAAGTATTCTTGTGCTTATAAAGACGGTTACGTATATTTTCGTGCTTACACGGACAAGTGCAAAGTGAGATCGATACATATTGGTTATTAAAATTAGTTTTTAATAGAATAAAACCATAAATACTTTAAGTTAGGTTATGTTGTGCTATTTAAACTTCGATCTTCAGCCAAGTATTTAAATAATTTTTAAATTAGGTGATTATAGGTAGTGATAGATACTTAATAGTAATAATGGTTATGTGTTTTGCTCCGACCTGTAAACATTATAGTGAAAGAGACGATTGCAAATGGTTTGCATTCCCACGGGATCCTCTCGAACTGCGAAAGTGGCTAAAATTAATAAGGTGATTAGTTATTTTTCTGTATTATATGTATAGTTTCAATTGTTTGAATGCAGGCGAGAAGATAGAGACCCTGGAAAGCACTCGAGGATTTGTAGTTGCCATTTTGTGGACGGCGATAAGGAAAACAGACCGACCATTTTTGACTACAACATAACTAAACGGTTTAAGGGAGAAGCTTTGCCAAAAAAGTCACAGTAAGGTTAAAATCTAATGTGGTCAATCATTTATCAGAGATTTTAGCAAACACTTCCTTGCCAACGTTGACATTAACCAGCCAATACCTGGACCGTCCGGATTAGATGATCAATTCGAAGCAACCACCTGTGCTGAAGAAGTTGGTATGCAAGTGTCTGAAAGTACTCCATCGACATCGACAACTGTAATGGCATGTTCATCAGCTGGAACTAGTTATCCGTTTGGTGCCATGGTTGATGCAGAGAATTATTTTCTAAAAAATGAAGTGAACAGTCTAAAAACTGAATTGCTACATTTAAAACAGAGCTTTTCATTTAAAAAAATTGAAGGGAATTCTCATTTAGTGACTGTGTACACTGGTTTACCCACAAAAGACATTTTTTTGACATTGTTTTCATTATTTGAAAACATGAAATTAAACTATTTCATGGGGTGGCAAGTTGTGTCAGTACCGAAAATCGATCAACTGTTATTGACATTAATGAAATTAAAATTAAATTTACTCAATGCCGATTTAGCTTTAAGGTTTAATATTAGTCGAGAAACTGTGGCAAATATATTTAAAACGTGGTTGTTTGCTCTTCATGAAATATTATTTGTGCAATTAATGAAAAATAGTCCATCACGTTTTAAAAATAAATGTTGCATGCCAAATTCTTTTAGTTCATTTACCAACTGTAGAATGATAATAGATTGTACAGAGGTATGCACTATTCAATCAAAAAATATGGAAAAGCAAAGAATAACATACAGCTCCTACAAACATCGGAACACACTAAAGGGTTTAATTGGAGTTGCACCCAATGGTGTTGTGGTTTTTGCCAGTAAACTTTATCCTGGATCTCTTTCAGATAAAAAAATTACTGAACACTGCGATGTATTACAAAGACTGGTCCCCGGCGATTTGATTCTTGCCGATAAAGGTTTTTTAATTTCAGATTTGCTACCTCAAGGTGTTTCTTTGAATGTTCCTCCATTTTTAAACACACCCCAATTTTCACGTGAGCAAGTAATAAGAACAAAGACTATAGCTAAAGCTCGTATTCATGTTGAGAGAGCAATTAATAGAATAAAACAATATTTAATATTACGAATGATACCATCCACCTTAATACCACATGCGTCTGTAGTATTTCAAACATGTGCGGCACTAACAAATTTACAATTTCCCCTGATCAAGGAAGTTGAATCATTATACGATTAAATCTTTACTTATATATAATTATTTATAATCTGATTTGGACTGCCTTAAAATCTAAGTTGTTATAATATATGTACATAATTTACAAATAAATTTACTTAAACTTAAAACTATTCTATTAGATAAAAATCAAGTTATTCTACAAAAATACTTTCTAATATTTGTGGGATATAATGGTCCATATAAAATTGTTTCAAAAGGTCTACATTTTTTGACCAGTTAAGGTCCTTGTTTATTTGAACAATGATGGTGTCTTTTGGAGTCCAAACCACCAAGAAACAAACACTTCGACCAGTTAACTCTAATGTACCTTGTATTTGGTCATAATATTCATGATCACTATTTACAAAAATGTCACTTTCATTTAGGGTAATGATATACGATTTATCACCTTCAAGTTCTTTCCGTATATCTTTCTCACGAAATTTATAGGGGCACTTCACTTCTACAATTGCATTGTCATCCACAAGACCATCTGGACTGGCACCGAGAAATCCACAGCTATGCAACCATAATCCTGTTGGAGTGACAGATTTTTTTGTAATATTGCTAAATGTTGCAAGTGCTTCCGATTCATGAGCTATGCCCCACTGTACAGCTGTTACGCCTCCTATATTATAAAATCCTACAATAAATGAGTTATATATATGCAAACTAGTGCAAATAACATAGTACCTGTTAAGCGTTTGAACAATGATGGAGGATAACTTTGCCTACGAACAGCAGCCAAAACAGCTCCAAAATTACTTGCTGTCAGACGGTTTGTTCTATAGGTTAGCCAGTTTTCATTCTGACTTTGGCCAATTGTATTTCCGCTAACCGTTTTGATGGTTTCAGATGAAACTTGGAGTTTATTAGCAAAAAACTCTACTTTATTTGTTGCAGACAAGTATTCCGCAGAGAATAAGAAATCCTCTATATTTACAAGTAAACTTCCCTCTGACACTGGTTCAGGACTTAATAGCCACGAAAATCCTACAGCAGTCCCTGTTTTTTGTAGCTGTGCACGAAACATGGCTATTTCGTCATCTGTCAGTTCTCTGGTTGTAGAATGATGATTACCTTCCTTATAGAAATTTTCTATTGTTTTGATTTGTGCTTTTTCGAGTTTCTTTTTTGCACTCCACGAACACCCCACATCAGTTATGGAGATGTTATGATGCCCATAAATACAAACCGCTGCCATATGGTGACATAGGTATTGTCCTCTTGGACAATCGCAATGTACATCAACAATGTCACCATCTTTATCCAGATTTATCTAATAATGTATAAATAAGACCATATTCATTTATTACCATTTACATTACCTCAACATTGTATAAACGGTTTCGCATACTGGCATGTACTTTCGCTTTCATAACTAACAACTCAGCGATGAATTGAAAGCTTTCCACATGGTTTGACTCGATGGCATTTTCCCCTCTTTTAATAAGCTTCCTTTCATCGGCATCACAGAATAAATTTGCAATTGCACTAAACTTTAGCACATGCTTTGGTTGAGTCATTGTAGCACTATTGACAGATAATTAACACATTAGATTATAATATTTAACTATATATAAGATTATATAAAATACACGGATGTAAATAAAATATGACTACATAACCACACTTTGCATTATTAACATCCAGTAAAATTATAACATTAACTATGTATTTAAAAAAGTGAGAAGTTTATTTATAGTAACATCATTATCATTTACATTCACTTACCATATAAAAAAACACTACGATTTTTTAAAAAAAGGCGTTTAAAAATTTCCAAATGGGTAATTACACACAAAGTGTTGTTTGTTTGGAACACGCAGTAGCAGCTAACTTCACTAGTGACGTCACGCTTGTGCAGTCTACACCTTACCGGTACTTACCAGTACCACAGCATTGGGTATGCTGTGCCGATACTTGAGCCACAGCTTACTGATAGTAAGTAAGCTGTGCTTGAGCTACAACCATTTCACAAGTGGCAAAAGACATGCGCAGTACGTACACCTGCATCGTCTGTTAATAAATAATGCCTTCTTCATCATATATATAAGAGAAGGGAATATATATATGGTTTATCCATATACTTCTCTTATACAGGGTGACAATTTGAAAACTTACCACCCCCCATATCTTAGTAAATAAACGAGATATTTAAAAAAATCAAAATCCGTTTCGGTAATTCGGAGGGGAATCACAATGACATAGTTGGCGACGCACCCCCTCACACCCCCTGCGCCCTAGCCACCCCAACTTTTAAATCTTAAATAGTGACCCCCCATGTGTGATACGTCGTTGGAAAGCTCTGAAAAAATGCTTTCTAACCATACCAAATAGCATTACATTTAGGTTAGTAAATTATCGTGCAAATCAAAAAATAACATGGAAAATCGTATTTAACTTGAACTTCCAAAGCCGACTCGACAGCAACTCATTTTTGATCACCAGTTATAATCTATTCTCAAACTCTTGTCGAACCTTTTCAAATGTTGGTTTTGCAATATTTCGACATTCTTGAATTATTCTCTGTCTTAGTTTGTCTAATGTTCGCCGGTTGCGTTTTAAATACGACAGATTTCAAATGTATCATATTAGTTTAAAAACAAGTGTTGGGAATTGTGGGTCAGGTAACCAGGTACCAAGATTCTAAGAAAGGGTGAAATACACAGGATGTGACTCATCTTTGGTGCAATAAAGTCCTTTTGTTAAAAGCAAGATGGAAAATTACATAGCCTTGTAGGCAAATTTAACTAAAACAGGATATGTGGAAATTGTTGAATCGCCACTCATTTATCGCACATAGATTCTAAACTGAAGAGCTTTGGTTAGCGTAATCCCGCTCCTGCAAGATAGGTAGCCCGCCCCTGGTTTCGGAGTTTCGAGCCAACAGATGAATTTCGAAGACAATCACGGAATTAGGTGTCGTAGCTCAATTTTGACTACAGTTTTTACCACCCTTGTGACTGCATCATTCACGGAGAAAATTGTTAGCAACAAACAACAAGTCAGTACATACATCAAACGAATCGGTAATTTCCACCGATTATAATAAAATGAAAACTTATATGAATGTAACTTCAGGGACAAGACCAAGTAATCAACATCAATAAACATAATTAGGATATTATCAGTCCCCTTTCTTTCATAGTCGTTTTAGATGGCGCAGAGGCAGCTTTTTCTCACCTAGAAATTGCATGGTTGCAAACTCTCATAAATGTATTGTATCGTCGTAGATTGTATATACAGCGTGGCACCTCTCAAATTTTATTTTACGCTAATGATGACAAAACACCAGTTTCTCAAAACAAAATTCTACCCGAAATAAAATCACTCGTTACAAACGGCAGTGAGAGAACGTGGACACCCCCTGCTTTGTATATTTTTTGGGAAAGCATAAATTAGTTTTAGTAATGGTAGCCCAGAGCCCCCATATTTCATGATTTGTCGTTTTGGTTATACTTTGGTTATACTTTTAAACAAAGGAATTGGTAGACCTTGTTAGTAGGTCGTATCTTCTCTCGTATATGGGTCGGGTTGAAATAAAGGTAGGTATACAGTGGCGGCGCGTAGTGGTGTGTCTTGGGAGTGCACAATTTAAAAATGGGACCACGGGCAAAAAGCCGGGGGCGAAAATTTTTTGAGCGTCACCGCAACACGAAGTTTTTTGGGCCTATTAAATGGCATAAAAAGCGTATTGATGAGCTCTAAATACTCCAGGGTTTATTGAATTTTCTCGATTTGTCAATGGTTGCGGAGAGCAAGTTCCAAAGCACCACAAAATTTTATACGGTCTATAATTTGGGTAAAACATACCTGGCACGAATGGACTCCTACGTTGTGTAATCGGTTCTTTTATGTGTTGGGACGTGAGACATAATCGGGAAGGGAATTAAATAAAAGACAGAACTTTTGTGCGTAACAAATGACAAGATCAAATAAATATATTAACGCACACACAAGACCATGCCAGGGAAACCTTCTCCGGGACTAAAACCCTGGCATAGGCCACACAAATACATGAAATAAATCACCTACAGCAATAAAATGCAAGAGAAAATACACTACAGGAAGGAGCATAGTAATGTAAAAAAGGGGATCATAATGGAAGGTGAATATGGCGGTCGTGAATTTCCGCTTTCCAGTGGCGTGCCTATTTAGTTTATAGTCAAATGGTGCACAAAAAGTGGAAAGTTCTAGTGTAATTATTTATAGTGGGTTACTGTATGTTTGTTGGTGTGCTGAACACGAATCTGAAGTTGTCCAACAAAAATTTTCCCCGTGTATATGAGAAATCGTCAAAAATCTTAAAGTAGGTTTGCTATCATCTTTATTGATTAAAAAAAAAACAAGAGCACAAATGATACAAGACGCTCATACAATTTAAATTTAACATAATGTCAGTCTTCTTAAATATTCAAGGAAACAAGGAGGAACAAAATAAGAAAACCTTCACTGACCTTTAAATAGAATGAGTTTAGTCAATAAATTCCTAACTTTATCATTACCTAATGCAGTTTGTTGTTTACAAATAAAATTAATCCTTACATTTAAATATACGTTAAGATACTTTTCATTAACAATATTCTGTGACTTTCAATTGGTGAACTATCATGATTTATCATATTATCCAAAATACAGCTTCCCAAAAAAAATTTCAACACTTGTAATGATATACAATTTTTATCGATTACAGATTTTCTTACAATTTGTTGTCTTCTTATAAGCTTTTCGCATTGTAAACAAATTTTTAATACGTCACTGCTTGGATATGACAGGCGTCCTCTACTTTTTTGGTATATCAATGAATTTAAGAAATTTTCTTCCTGTCCATATAAATAAGGAATGCAATTTTCACATTTGAGCTTATGTCCAAGATTGAAGCTGACAAAACCAGCAATGTATTTAACAACTTCCAAAACATAGAGAGACAATGAATCTAAGTTAAACACATAATCATGGTCTGTGAGAAACTTGGAAATAAAATCATCAGTATCATCTTCACTAGTTTCTATTATGCTTGGAAGACTTTCATTTATAATTTGTTCTGGACTCTTGTAAGACGAACTAATATTCAAAATATTTATGTCGTGAAGTGGTATACAATTTCCTGCTCCACCATCTCTCACTTCAGCATGTATCAAAATTTTTTTGTAAGCGGCCGTGAACTGTCTACAAGTTGGATTGTTATTATATCCACCCTGTGATCTAACACTTCCAAAAAAGAGTTTGAGGTGATCTTGATTCAACTTATATGTTGGAAGGAAATGTAAAATCTGTGTGGCAATATATTCTTCATACATTCCTAACAATGCAGAAAACCCCATCAACATCCCAGCGAATCCAGTTCTTCTTTGTGATCTTGTAACAAACATATTGTCTTTCATTTTTAAGTTGACTATGTACCTACTTGCAAAGTTTTGTATAAAACCTACGAATTTCTTCAATATTGGTAGGGCATGTTGCCTGCTTATAGGTACCCGACTTCATTAGTAGAATGAACTCGGCAGTTGGACCACAATTGTTGAATTCTGCCATTTGTAATTTATCTCTACAGTAAAATAAAGCGTCTGCTACTGACCTACTTAACAACTGTCTGGCTAATTTCACTTTCATTTTTTGTTTGACAAAGTTAATGTGTTGTTTCCTCAGTTTGTTTCCTAAGTGTAAACCTTCCTTTTCCTGCATTTCATTTAATTTAATAACGTACTCAAAATTTATTTGATTTCCATTCAAATCTATGAATCCCATTTTTTCTGTAAAACAATTTCTTATCAATTTAATCATATGAACCGGATCTGGCATAAGGAAGTATTTTCTATCATCATGAATAAACACTGATCTGATATTATCTTCTTTGAAGGGACATTTTAATACCGAACACATGCCAAAATTAGTTGCAGCACCATCAAATGTCATATTCATGATTTTAATCCCTGTATCATTCAATAAAGTTAATGCTTGTTTTGTTAAAGTGGCTTTTTGATTGCTGTTAATAGCTGAAAGGAAAAAATATCCAATGGGTAATTTCCAGGGTTCATTGATGCAAACTATCATAAAAACTAATGCTTCTTTGGCCATTTCCATATTGTCCCCCTCTAACTGGCTTCCAAAGTCAACATACCCAAAATATTTACCATTACAAAATTCTACATGTTGGCGAATTGACATTTCATCGAAAACAAGAGAGCATACAATTTCTTTTTTATTAGATTTGGCAACTTTTAGTTTCAAAAAGTTGAAAGCTTCTGTCGTGAAACCTGGCTTCGCATCAACTGAGAAATACCACTTATAAAAAGTTTTTGGATGTGGCAGGCAATTGTAAAATTTTTGACGTACATAATTATACCCTTTAGGTGAAAAGAAATGTAAGGTCATGGCAAATGAACAAATTGATTGTTCATATTTTTGTTTTACTTGTTTTTCGTTAGTTTTTCTGAAAAGCCTTTCAATAATTCCTTTGTTGTTACCAAAATGGTCTAACACAAGGTTACTGTGTTCTTCAAGCATCAAATTTTTTTTTTTAATTCAGAAGCCCAGATCTTATGAGATGAAATCCATTTTTTCTTTTTCCACATAGCTTTTTGCAATTTTCTGAGTTTTTTACTCTTTACATCGTTTACTTTATATAATTCATTAATTTTTCTCTTTAAACTTCTTTTCCGGGGGGTGTCTTCTAAATTCGTATCTTTGGGGGGCGATGATGGAGGAGTTTTTGCAGATGAAGCACTAGGTTCATTATATAATAAAAAATGGTGCTTTGAAATTTCAGCAGGCGTAGATGGTTCATGTGTAGTAACCATAACAGTTTCGAAATTACTTTCACTTATTGGCTTCAAATGCAGTGGATTGTATCGCGACACCT